AACTGAAGCTAGTATCAAACGACGATTGTTTAAAAAGGTTTGCATTTTTCTGGGCCTTAGCGTTAGAGAAAACCCAGATAAGACACGACTTACCTCCTCGTCTTTCTCGGATCCTTTTTAGTTCGTTTCTCTTTGTTGATGACCTCTTCTCGGTCTGTTTTCAGGAGCGTCTTTGTATTTCCTTCTGGCGTTGCTCTTCGTTAGATATTTGCCTTTTTACTTAAGTCTTTTCTTGTTCTCTTTCGCGTTCCTTTCACCGTATTCTACCTTTTGTGGTGTCCTCTCAAACTATCTTGCGCTTTTTTATCGACTCGCTTTACTTCTTTTACTTCTTGTTTTTTTTGGTCCCTTTTTTATTGGTCTACATTTATAAAACTGATACATGATGTCTTTAACCCTTTACACCCTAACATCAGTATGCGTATTCTCCGTATTCTTCTTCATGCATTTCCTGATGGGCTGGCAAGGAGAATTTTGTTTAACAATCAAGAGGTTCTTCAGTTGATTATCATTTCCTTTATTCTCATGACATTAATGCTTGATTTAGGGATGACATTGAAAGGAGAAATTAGATACTAGTCACTCTCAGGAATTAAAGTGTTAATAACTGTACACATTTTATATGCTCCTTGCACTTGTTGGCAACAATAGTTAAGATTGTTAGGAAAGCAAACAGATGAACAGAAGACAGTGAAATGGGGGAAACTGAAAACTTTACCCAATGGTAGAAGAAACGATCACAGAATACTTAAGAAGGGAAACTTGAATTGTGCTAGCCAATTTCCTCTATTGCCCTTCATGTTTTTGATCAAATAAAATTTAATCAGTTGTAGGGTTTGCTTACAATGTGTCAAGTCACCAGTGTGGACTTGATTCTTCTCAGACGTCAGCTGGTAAAAGATAGATGCTAAAAATAGATGACTATAAGAAAAAGTACACCTCTTAAACAAAATCGTACTGAAGTGGTGGCATGATTGATTCGTGATATTTAGAATGACAGAAGTAGGAAAAACACATTGAGCTTTTTCCTATTCGCTAGTAAGTTTATTAGATTTCGGAATCTACATTCAAACTGGGTGAGATTGAATTTATCCATATCATGCTTCAAAATTCCCTGGACAAGATAATCTCAGTGCAGAAGTATTTAAAGCAGACCCACAGCTAGCAGCAGACCAACTTCAGCCACTCTTTACAGGCATCTGAGAGGGGAAGAAGTTACCTGAAGATTGGACAGAGGGAGTCATGGTGAAGATTCCGAAGAAAAGTGCCCTCAACAACTGCAACAACTAGCGAGGAATCACCTTACTATCTGTACCCAGTAAGATCCTGGCCAAGATCATCATCCAGCGAATAGCCGACACAGTGGACCAACAACTGAGAAGAGAGTAGGCAGGGTTTTGGAAAGGAAAGAGATGTACATACCAGATCTTCACCTTGCGTAACATCATAGAGCAGTGCACAGAGTGGCGGAGACAACTTTACATTAACTTTTTAGACTTTGAGAAGGCTTTTGACAGTGTGCACCGGGAAAGTCTGTGGCGCATCCTTCGGGCCTATGAGATACCACAGCAGATTATCGACATCATCAAAAGCTTCTACAACAACTTCAAATGCAGAGTAAGCAACAGCGAAACCAGCTTTGAAGTGAAGACTGGCGTCAGACAAGGCTGTACAATGTCGGCAATGCTCTTCAACATGACCATTTACTGGGTAATGAGGCGCACAACAGATGATCAGTCATGGGGTATCAGATGGACCCTCTTATCTACGCTGGAGGACGTAGATTTTGGAGATGATCTAGCCTTGGTCTCCCATACTCACCAACACATCCAGAAAAAGACGACCTGACTCACCACTTACGCACAGCGAGTTGGCCTGAAGATCAGCCAAAAGAAGACAGAAGTGATGCTGCTGAAAGTGTCCAACCCTAAGAGAGCGACCTCACCGAGCTGTCAGTCTTCCAAACAAAGAACCTCAGGAGAATCCTGCAAATCTTTTGGCCTGACACCATCTCCAACCAAAAGCTACTCGCCCACTGTAATCAAGACAGCATGGAGACCATCATCATGGGAAGGTGATGGAAGTGGATTGGGCACGTCATGAGGAGAGAGCAGGACACCATCACTCGTACAGCCCTTCACTGGACACCTGAAGGAAAGCGCAAGAGCAGAAGACCAAGAAACACCTGGCGCCGAACTGTTGAGGCATAGCTCAAGACCATGCAACACACTTGGGGTACCATCCAGAAGCTTGCCTGGAACTGACAGACGTGGCGATCCTTTGTAGCCGCCCTACGTGCCACACGCATAATGGGCATGAGTGATGCTTCATTATGTTTCTACTATTTGCAAACATGATAAAATACCATCAAAAATATTTTCAAACCATTTAATGTAACCAATAACAACATCAACTCAACTTGAAAACTAAAGAGAAAACTTGATTGATGTTTGGAATTGATTTCTGTGATGCTAAATGAAATCCAGGTATTATCTCAAGTTTTTCACAAATGTATTCATGATCGAATCCTAGGTCTCTCTTCGTCATCAAGTTTTGATCATTACATTTAAGCTCTAGCTTGTCTTCTCTTTAAGCAAACTTTTGTAGCGTATGAAACATGTTAGACAAATTTCGTACTTCATTACCTAGAGTTGCTAAGATCATGGGTAGTTGGCCTAAAGAAAGCTACATTATAAGTAGTTACAGCAGAGGTTACCGAATAAAATAACAGAAAGAATGTCAAAAAGACGCCGTGTATTTCCAGCCAAAGGAAAATCATGAAACGATAATAGCCAAAACAGGAAAAGTTTTAAGAAATTACATGCTCAAACAATAGTTGAAAACGACTTTTCTTTTTAATTTTTCGCGAGACAGAAGAGGTTGAAACATTAGGAAAAATGGTGGGGCAAGCAGTCATACCCGGCAACTTCAAGAGAAGATATAAGAGAAGCCCATACGATTCTGGCGTCTTGATTTACTAATTCACTGTTATCACGAACAACAACGAAGGTCCTCAGCTGCTTGAAGATAGCGCTGGCTAGCATGCGTTTTATCGCAAGTTGTGAGAACATCGTCCCCAGGTTCCAGACCTCGCCAATTCTTCCCTTCCCTCCCCATCCCCGGGACTGGTCTCTTAATCCCCTTGAAGAAACACTTCTACAGCCAGTGCTGAAAAGTTTTATTACAGTTTTTATTTTGATGAGGGGCTAAAAAATAAACTAACAAGAGCTACGCTCTTAGGCGTGGCTAGATCTATATATTACCGTCCTTATTCGCTCAACATAAATTGTTAGCAATGACGTTTGTGTCTTACCTGGCATTCGTCTTCATCGACTGCCAATTGACCGAAAATTAAAATCATTCGCAGTTAACACTTCTAGTCTTTCATGTTGTTTCTGGTTCTAAGGGGGGTAAGCGAAACCCTACCTTTGAAGATATTCCGTGAACTGCGGGCAGCAGTTTTTCATAAATGTAATTGGTGCATGGTTTGTCGTGAAACAAAAGACAATTCTGAGTCTTATGTTTTATTCAGCAAGCGACTAAAGCCTTTCAAATTCAAATAGATAACCTTTATTCATGGAAATTTTTTCATAAACAATAAATTGCTGAACATAGCCTCAGGAAAATTCGACACTTTTCAAATATAAAGCTTATTCTAGTACGGGTATATAAACTACTGATTTACCCTTTCGCTTTTAGCTTAACCAACCGATAATTACACGTTTTTAAAACATCTGCGATCATTAGTGTCACGGAGATTTTCATAAAATCACGTAGTGGAAATATCTAATAAGTTTCACAAACATTATTCTTTGCCTTACAATGAATGATGCAACTTCGATAACAATTACGAAGGAAGCCACTTGGACAATACTTTTAAGCATCTGTTCTGTTGTTGATATAAATATTGAAATCGTCTCAGTTGCTGAATTTTGATTGGAATCGAGGCAATGGTCTCGAACCTTGGTCATAAGCCAAGGACCTTTTTGTAGAATGTACGAAACTTGTTTTGCACTCTCCGTGGGAAGTTTTGAGATATTTGTTTGGGTGTTTGCAGTAAAATAATAATTACATTTATTGAAAAAGAAATAGTTAAAGGCCAACTCGCGTCAATTTCACTCTCATGGAATAATTGCTAAATACAGCTTGGGAAATGTCGTGGTCACCGATTAGAAATACGAATTACAGATACGTCTTGAGGGTTCCGCTGAAAACTGCCCAAGTGAGTTGGGTTCCCTCGTTAAACATTATTAGAGAGTCTAAATGGGGTTAATAGTTGGCCGTAAAACGGCCAAAAATTTAGCTGTTAGGCGTAAAAATTGACGCATTTTAGACCGTTAGTCACAAAAAAGTTAACGGTAAAAACATTTGTGGTGATAACAATGGAATGATAATAACTTTTAGCCGTAAAATGGTCAAAATTTCAATTGTTAGCCATAAAAAGCCAGCAACTCGTTGAGCCTCCCTTTTTCATTTAGATGTTCGGAGGCTAATAAGCACCAACATAAAATTAAATTTTAATCCTGGTTTCGTTAATCCTTTTTTTCAAGAGCCTTTTTAAAATTATTTTTCATATAATTCTCTATTCCCTTAAGAGCATCCAATAATGAAATTGCAGCAAATTACACTAAGTTTTTTCTCAAAGCTTGCAGATCTGAAATCAGATTTCACACTTACCCTGGGTTATCTTGACCCAGTTTTGAACAACATTGCCCAGGTGTTAACAAATGAAGGAAACTCGTGGTATCTGAGTCACGTGTGCCAAATGACTTCCTAGTCCTTGTCTCCAGATGATATTAGGGACCTTATGCAGCCAGGACGAGAAAAACCTGGCTTAAAAATGAATATATTAATTCCGAGCCTGTCGAGCCTGTTGATTCTAATGGTTCTGCAGGTTTTACACCTTCTACAGTTTCAATTAACTTGTCTCCGCCTGTCCAGCCCGCCGAGTTTCTCAAGCCCCTAGAGTCTGTTAAGCCCGTCGAGGTCCCCGAGCCCGCCTAGCCTGCCAAGCACACGCCCGCCACGCCTGCCACGCCTGCCACGCCCGCCACGCCCGCTACGCCTACTACGCCCGCCACGCCCGCCACACCCGCCATGCCAACCACGCCAGCCACGCCCGCCACGCCCGCTAAGCCCGCCACGCCCGCCGAGCTCGCCGAGCGCCTCCTACGTATCAGTAGCTGAATGGCAATATCAGAAATACGTGGAAAAATCGCGAAACTCCAGCGCAGTAGCTGAATGGCGATATCATAAATACGTGGAAAAACCCTGACTCTCAAGCCTGTAGGTTTTGCAGGTTTTACACCGTCTATAGTTTCTCTTATCTTCTTATCTTCATCAATGTGGTATTTGTACCACGTGTTATTATTGCTTTTACTGTTTCCAAAAGAGAAGTTTACTTCCGAGCCATTCCTACAGTTCCAAAAAGGTTCATAGTACTTTATTAGCATCCCCTCAATACAGGGGGCATAGTCGTCTATTTCCAAACTCATAAACCGTACCTTGAAATCTTGCACCTGTAAGTCTTTCGCCTCTTCCAGTCTGCCGCGGTGGTAGTTCAGGCGTTCTAAGACACTTGTTTTAGACATTCCCACATAGATTGGTTTGTCCTTTGACGGACGGACCCGGTTTCCATAGAGTGAAGTCTCACCATCGTAATATATAAGGTAGACACCAGGAAATCGGGAACGCTTACCAGGATAATCATCACTTTTGGAGAGTGGATAAAGAGACAACTCTTTCACGAGTTCCACGGAAATCCTCTGCAACGTGCAGATGAACTCAACATCTACATCCTGTTCTTTATGTCTTTGAGAAATTTCATCTTCCACTGCTAACTGGTGCTCCTTCTCCATTCCAAGCTTAAGAGGAGAATAAAAAGATTTAAACATTTTTTAATGCGGGCAAAAGTAGTATGATAGTTCTCACATATTCTTTACACGAAGTATTGCATCGGATCACAATACAACGCAGTTAGCCGAGAAAGAATCTTAATTGAACAAAGCTTTTATTCTTTGCTTCTTATTGTTTCTGATGTATAATCTTATTTGCTCTTTTTTACATTCGTGCAACTATTTGGGTCAAAATTAAAGCGAACCATATTTTCCGTTTTAGTTAATTTTCAAGACAAGAATTCGGAGGGGGATATTCTGGGTTCTGAAAGCTGCATTACTGAAAAAAAGAACGGGCAAATTCCTCAATATCGCCAAAAATATACACAGTACAAACAACACGGAAATAGCAACTTAGAATTTGTAAATATCCAAACGTTCTGGACTCAAAATTTTACGGATGTGACATTCCAACTTTAAATTTCAGATTCAAAATCACAGGAGACACGACCAAAGAGAAGAGGTTTTATTTCGGATTTTTTTTTACTTGCGTGTAAACGGCGAAACGAATCCGGAACAATTTCGACTCGTGTAAATCTAGTTTCAGTTGGATAATTTTCGAATTTGGTCTGTTTCAGAAAGAATCAGAAACTGAAAATGGCTCGGAATACATTGGAAGACTTTAAAGATATTTGATACCGCTCAAAGTGCTACAAAAACTATCAAAATACTCTAAGAAAAATTGTCTACTATCGGCGCAATATCGCAAACCTCAATGTCCTCGTATGCATACTTATTACGTTATCCCTACGGTTCTAACTAAAACGTAGCATTTATCTCCTGGATATATCTGAGTGAGCCCTTGTTACGGATTCAAAAATGTTATGTGTCTACCTAAAATCTTTTGTAAAAACCTTTTTTTATTGTTCACTTCATCGACAGTCGAAGGGTCAGAAACGTACCTCTGGCATGTTTATTTTCGCCCTTATTCGCTCAACACAAATTATTAGCAATGAAGTTTGTGTCTTACCTGACACTTGTCTACATCGACTGCCAATTGACCGCAAATTGAGAGTCGTCCGCAGTTAACACTTCCTAGCTTTCATTTTGTTTCTCTGAAATCCCACCGTTGAAGATATTCCGTGAACTGTAGATAGCGCTTTCAGTATCGGAGCATGTACTCCAAAAAAAGTCTCTTAAATGTGATTGGTGCATAGTTCGTCGTGAAACAAAAGACAATTCTGAGTCTTATGTTTTATTCAGTAAGCGACTAAAGCCTTTGTCACGAGTAATTGTTGAACATAGCCTCAGGACAATTCAACTCTTTTCAGACATAATAAATGTTCAAACGTCCCGGACTCAAAAGTGTTCGGATTCGACGTTCCAATTTTAGATTTCAGATTCAAAATTACCGGAGACACGACGAAAGAGAGGAGGTTTATTTCGGATTTTTCCTACTTGTGTGTAAACGGCAGAACGAATTCGGTACTACAACATACCGGATTCTTCAGGAATCTGGAACAATTTCGACTTGTGCAAATCTAATTTCAGTTGGGTAATTTTCTAATTTAGTCTGTTTCCGAAAGAATCGGAAAAACTAGAAACGGCTCGGAAAACAGTGAAAGACTTAGAGGATAATATTTGGTGCCGCCCAAAATGCCACAAAACCTACCGAAGTACTGCAAGAAAAATTGTCCGCTGTCGCAATATCGCGAACCCCAGTGTCCTCCTATGCCTACGTATTAAGTTTTCCCTGAAGTTCCAAGTAAAACTTAACATTTTATCTTACGGATGTATCTGAGTTAGCACTTGTTACGAAGTCACAAATGTTACGTACCAACCTAAGATCTTTTTCAAAAGTTTTCTAATACTTAGTTCATCAACATTTGAGGGGTCAGAAACATATCTTTAATTGGTATGCTAATACCAATTATACCGTCCTTGTTCGCTCAACATAAATTATTAGCAATGAGGTTTGTGTCTTACCTGACATTCGTCTTCATCGACTGCCTATTGACCGCAAATTAAAATCATCTGCAGTTAACACGTCTAGCTTTTCATTTTGTTTCTCTGGTTCCTAGGGGGGTAAGCGAAACCCTATCTTTAAAGATATTCCGTGAACCGCAGGTAGCACTTTCTCTTAAATGTGATTGGTGCATGGTTTGTCGTGAAACAAAAGACAATTTTGAGTTATAAGTTTTATTCAGCAAGCGACTAAAGCCTTTCAAATTTAAATAGGTAACCTTTCTTGATAGAAGTTTTGTCATGAATAATAAATGGTCGAACATAGCCTCTGGAAAATTCGACACTTTTCAAACATAAAGCTTATTCTAGTACGGGTATTTAAACTGTTGATTTACCTTTTCGCTTTTAGTTAAACCAACTGATAATTATACGTTTTTAAAACACCGTGAAAACATCTGTGATTATTGGTGTCACGGATATTCTCATAAAATCACGTAGTGCAAATATCTAATAAGTTTCACAAACATTATGCTTTACCTTACCAATAAATAATTCAACCTCGATAACATTTACGGAGCAAGCTACTTAAACAATACTTTTAAGTATCTGTTCTGTTGTTGATATAAATATTGAAATCTTCTCAGCTCCTGAATTTTGATTAGTCGTAAGCCATAAACCTTTTCGCGGAGTGTAAGAAACTCGTTTCGCTTTCGCACTCTCTGTGGCTAATTTTGATATATTTATATGGTTGTTTGCAATAAAATAACAGTTACGCTTCTTGAAAATAAAATACTTAAAGGCTAACTCATATCAATTTCGCTCTCATGGAATAATTGCTAGATAAAGCTAAGGAAATGCCATGGTTACAGATCAGAAATGTGAATTACGTCTCGAGGGTCCCGCTGAAAGCTGCCTTGGCGAGTTGGGCTCTAATTAAATTTTAATATTATTAGAGGGTCTACATGGGGTTAACCGTTAAAAATTTAGCATTTAGGCGTAAAAATTGACAAATTTTAACCTTTAGTCACATAAGGAGTTAACCGTAAAAAATTTTCTGGTGACAGCAATGGATTGATAATAATTGTTAGCAGGTAATTTAGTGTTAACAACTGGGTTGAAAACGTAAATTAGCCACCGTAAAGGGTAAAAAAGCTGACGTTTCGAGCGTTAGCCCTTCGTCAGAGAGATACTCTCCCACCGACGCAGCACCACAGTTTCTTTCGAAACTTACCCCTTTATTCATTTGATAATAATTGTTAGCCGTAAAATGGCCAAACTTTTAATCGTTTTTTAACCGTTGCTCAAAGGACGATAAGTACCAACATATGGTTAAATTTTCATCCGGGTTTCCTTATTCCTTCTTTTCAAAAGCTTTTTTCAGACAATTTTTCAGTAATTCTCTATTCTTTTGAGGGCATCCAATAATCAAATTGCAGAAAATCACTCTGAACTTTTTCTTAAAGCTTACAGATCTGAAATCAGATTTCACACCAACCCTGGGTTATCTTAACCCAGTTTTCAACTACATTGCCCAGGGGTTAACAAATGAATGAAACTCATGTTATCTGAGTCACATGTGCCAAATGACCTTAAGCAGTCATGACGAGAAAAACCTCGCTTAAAAATAAATAAATACTTATGGTTCAAATATCGTGAATGACTGCAAATGTTTAACGTCTCTTAAGGCGCTAAACCTCAACTTTTAGCAATACCTATGTTAGCAACGTAGTGCAAATGCAAACTTTAAAAATTTTCAGTCAGGGCTTCGGTTCTCAGACTACAAAAAATTTTGGCGATTTCACATTGTCGTTTGGTAGAGTACGTTTGAGAAAGGTAAAGAATGCACGTGCTGAGCTATTGTTTCTGGTCATAAGATCTGAGTGTCAAGTGATTGATTCAAAATACTGACTTAAAAATCTACGGATATTGTCATGTACAACAATTGCGAGGGAAACTATACTATAGCCGGCTAATCTTTTGATAACAAGTTGCGGTCAAGGTTGCAGTGGAGTAATTTTCAATCAACACCTAAATTAGCATATGCTAAAAAATTCATCATGGTGGAACGACGTTTCCTATCACAATACATTGCAGTTAGCCGAGAAAAATGCCTCACAATTAGTGTTTCTGATGTTTAGCCTTATTTTCTCTTTCTTACATTCGTGCAACTATTTGGGTCAAAATTAAAGCAAACTATAGTTTCGGTTTTGTTTAATTTTCCAGACAAGAATTCGAGAGGAATATTCTGCGTTATGAACGCCGCACTGCAGGAAAAAAGGATTGGAAAATTCATTTTTACATTACAGAAATTAATTTTTAAACTTCAGTCAAGTTTTTCTTTAGTTTGAAAGTTGAGTTGATAATGTTGTTGGCGATATTAAATAGGTTGAAAAATTTTAGATGGTTTTTTCTCACGTTTGTCAATAATTGAATTTACTGGAAGGTGGAGTTGCTGCCTCTTGTTAACATGAAACGCAACGACAAGTTTTATTAATATGTAAAAAATTTTCATGTGACTATCTGCTGGCAAGTCTTTGTATTACATTTCAACCAAACCATTTTCCACAACTTATAAACACTATTTCAAAATAATTAGTCAGGGAAATGGAAAACTTGTGGCATATTCACTACGGTTGAAATGCTATGTCCATAATTAGCTAAAGGGATTGAGGGGGGTGGATGTGGGAATAGGCTCCCTTGTCTGTATTATTAATTTGCTAATCGCTCCTGTTGGCAATGTTTTGATGAGGTTGGGCTGTCAGGGCAAAGGAACTGAGGATTTTAGTAGGCTGTGACTTTTTTCAAACTTGGAAACTATCATCGTGGAAGCCATACTTGTGCCTGGTAACTCATTCTTATTCTGTTTAATTAGTTTTAAGAAGGATACAACATTTTATAACACAAATTTGATGCATAGGATGTGCATAAAAACTTTAATTTGACTACACTTTTAGAGCCAATACCAGTCTTTTCACATAATAAAATGTTAAGAGGATCAGAGGAAAAAATTATGTGCTATATATCTGGAAGATTTCATGTAATTATTTTAATCACATGAATATCAACTGATACTAGGAGATATTAGAATATTCAAAAGAAAAGAAAATTTGGTTGAAAAATTAGAATTCAGCATGCACCGAATAAGCAAGATTCTTAGAAAAAGAAATGTGTAACTATGAAAAAGCTAAGCAAACCTTTTTACAACACCTGCTCTTGAATTCGAGAACTGTAAGCAACAATTGTGCTTACCAGCGTGCTTGTGAGCTCAAATTGCCAGGACCCCGTTTAATTACACAATCAAAAGTCGAACGCTTCTTGCAAAATGTAATCACTATCAATTCCGGAGATTGATTACACAGTTTCCAGCATTAAGAAAAAATTATCGTATCGCAAGTATTTTTATCATAACCCGAGCAATAAGTACGCCTCGAGACATTGAGCGAAGAGAAAGTGGCTCCATGTTTTGTGAGACAACCATTTCCTGAAGTTGGAACGAATCGAGTAGAAAGCATGAAAACATAGCGCTGAAAAGTTAGACAACCAAACAATGAAATTCACTCATCCCGTGCGGTACGTAATTTAATTCTCAGATGTTTGACGGGTTCTCACATGACAATATTGTCAAAATCGAATTACCGCGTCAGACTTAATGTAAGTTGAACATTGCTGACTCAATCTCATTTTGATTTTCGACAAAGCGCGATTCTTTTAAATGCATAATGTAAATCCTGCGATAGTTTACTGAATAACTGAAGGGAGAGAAAAGTAGAAAATTGCGCTCGCCGTTCGCTATAATTTGAAAACAAAACAAAATCCTAGAAAGATAACTTCTTTTCCCCTAACACCACGACTGTATTACACATTCCAAACGATAGGACAAGAAATAAGCTGCAGAATACAAACCCTGTGAAATGTTATTCGAGCAATGAACAGGCGGAAGGGCTTTTAGGAGATAAATGCCAAAGTCAATGTTTTACCCAAACGTGATCAGTTTAATTAAAAACTGAAGTTAGTATCAAACGACGATTGGTGAAAAAAAGGTTGGAATTATTCTGGGCCTTAGCGTTCGAAAAAACCAAATTAAGACACGACCTACCTCATCT